GAAGAATTGATGCTTTTGAGTTATGGTGTTGGAGGAGAATATTGAAAGTGCCATGGCCTGCCAAAAGAACCAATTGATCCATTTTGGAAAAAGTGCAGCCAGAGTGCTCTTTGGAGGCCAAAATGGCCAAACTTCGTCTCTCATACTTTGGACATATTGTCAGGACGGAGCAGTTGCTGGAGAAGGATATCATGTTTGGTAAGGTGAAGGGTCAGAGAAAAAGAGGAAGACCCCAATGAGATGTATTGGCCAAGTGGCAGCATCGATGGACTCAAGCATGGAGACAGTAGTAAGATTGGCCCAGGATCGGACAGTGTTTCGTTTTGCTGTGCATAAGGTCGCTGAGTTGGTATTGACTTGATGGCACCTAACAACAACAACAACAACAGTAAATACACCAAGGTTCTGTAATCATTGTAGGTTATCACCCCAGCAGTCAGTGGTCATTTTGTAATTCCTTTTCTCAAAGGAAATTTCTTCAGTTTTCAAAGTCAGTTCTTGCTTGCTTATTGTGATCACCCCTGATAATCTGAAGTCACTAACTTTTCAATAATTCACTCCTGATTTTTAATTAAAGACACTGATATTTCTGAGAGTTTATAATCTTCAGACTAAGGAGAGTCATTACCTCAAAGCTAGAGACTTCATTTTTGTGGCATGTCTTCACCCACAGTTTATACCCAAGTGGGGACAAGAAGGAAACTACCCTGATGGGCAGGGGGCCCTTCCACAGACCTCCTAGCTCATGACCTTTGGAAACCAGTCCCTCCATAACTTACTAGAAACAAGTTTCTGTGTTTTATTTTAAAGTGAATAGATACATTTTTAAAGTGGAGGGAATTCAGCTTTTAGTGAGCTCTTCCTAAATTTCTATTAACTGTTTGATTATTTTTAGGCTTTAAAAAAAAAACACACACAACAACCTCTGAAAGCTTTACCTGTGGATGATTTTTTTAAAACGTCTCCCTCTAGATGGCATATTTGTTGTTGTTGTTAGGTGCCATTAAGTCAGTTCTGACCCATAGCAGCCCTCTGTACAACAGGATGAAAAACCACCAGGTCCTACTCCATCCTCACAGTTGCTGATACACTTGAGCCCATTGTTGCTGCCACTGTGACAGTCCATATCATTGGGGGACCCTCCACTGTACCAAGCATGATGTCTTTCTCCAGGGACTCTTCCCTCCTAATAACAAGTCCAAAGATGAGGCACGAAGTCTGGCCATCTTGGCTTCTAAGGAGCATTCTGAATGTACTTCTTCCAACACAGATTTGTTTGTTTTTCTAACGGTCCATGGTACCTTCCCACCACTCATCTGTCAGTTTGTCATACTGTGGTGGCTTGTGAGTTGCTGTGATTCTGAAAGCTATGCCACCAGTATTTAAAATACCAGCAGGGTACCGACTCAATGGCACCTAACAACAACATGGTACCTTAAATATTCTTCTCCAATTTCCTAACTCTAATGCATCAATTCTTCTGTGGTCTTCCTTATTCATTGTCCAACTTTCACATTCATATGTTGTCGTTATGTGCCATGGAGTTAGTACCGACTCATAGTAACCTTGTACAGGGTTTCCGAGGCTGTAAATCTTTATGGGAGCATAAAGCTTCATTTTTCTCCCACGAAACAGCTGGTAGTTTCGAACTGCTGACCCTGAGGTTAGCAGCCCGATTTGTAACTACTGCACTACCATATGAGACTATTGAAAATACCATGGCGTGGGGCACGTGCACTGTAGTCCTCAAACTGACATCGTTGCTCTTCAGCACTTTAAAGAGGTTTTGTGCAACAAAATAACTTAAAGCAATACATCATTTGATTTCCTGACTGCTGCTTTCATGAGTGTTGATTGTGGATCCAAACAAAATGAAGTCTTTGACAATTTCAGTCTTTTCTCCTTTTATCATGATATTATGATATTATTTATTGCTCCAGCAGTGAGAATTTTTGTTTTCTTTATATTGAAGTGCAACTCATACCGAAGACTGTGGTCTTTGATCTTCATCAGTATTTTAAGTCCTCTTTGCTTTTAGCAAGCATAGTTGTATTATCTGTGTATCACAGGTCTTTAATGAGTCTTCCTCCAATCCTGATATCACATTCTTCTTTATATAATCCAGCTTCTTGGATTATTTTCTTAACATACAGATTGAATAAGAATGGTGAAAGAATACAACCCCTTGTTCTGTTCGAACGACTTCCACTTGGTGTATGTCCAGGTTCCTCATGAGCACAATTAAATGTTCTGGAACACTCATTCCCCATAGTGTTGTCCATACCCTATCATGAGCCACACAGTCAAAAGCAACTGCCTAGTCAATAAAGCACAGGTAAATCTCTTTCTGGTAGTCTCTGCTTTCAGCCAAGATCCATCTGATGTTAGCAGTGATATCCCTCATCCCATGTCCTCTTCTGAATCCGGCTTGAACCTCTAGCAGTTCACTGTCATTGTACAGTTGCAGCCATTTTTAAGTTATCTTTAGCAAAATTTTACTGACATGTTATATTAATGATAATGTCCAATGTTTTCCACATTCCATTGAGTCACCTCTTTGGAATGAGCACAAATATGGACCTCCTCTAATCAGGTGGCCAGGTCTTTCAAATATCTTGGCATAGTTGTTGAAAAGATTGCAATTTGTAGTTCATCAATTCCCTGAGCCTTATTTTTTGCCAATGCCTTCAGTGTACCTTGGACTTCTTCCTTCACTATCACTGGCTATTGATCATATGCTACCTCTTGAAATGATTGAACATCGACCATTTCTTTTTGATGCGGTGACCCCATGTATTCCTTCCATCTTCTTTTGATAATTTCTGCATATAGAAGCCCACAGTTCAAATCCACTAGCCATTCGTAGGAACCCTCTACAGCATCACTGAGTTAGAAACAACTCAAAGGCACACAAAAACATTAACAACAATAGTTACAGAAATAAAACAGTGACAGCATAATTGTTTGACATATTAATGTATCTGGCCTTTTAAAATCAGTTGGAGAGAGTGTATGGATCTAAAGAAAAATTAAGACTGTAGTACATCAAATAGAGAATAGGGTGTGTTTAAGCCTGGCTTTTTTCTGAAGATATCATTCCTTGGAAACACTATTTTCCTGTAACACCCGTTACAATGGGAGACTAGGGGAACCTAGTCTTAAGTGTCACTTAAGTGAAAAAGGAGTTAGTTATTTCTGGAATCTTTCAAATTTATGTCATATAAGACATTGATCTTCCATTAAGGTTTTCTCTATTGAAGAGGAATATGACAGTTCAGATATTGTCATCTTCAATTAGTAACCCAAACTTTCATACAATGCAATATCTTATAGAAAATGTATTAGGTGATTTTCTTCAAATAAATATACAGTAAAGTTACTGAAAAAATGTTAAATGCCTTATATCCCTTATATATTGGGGTTTTTCTCAATTACGCAATACTTCACCAATTGACACTCTTAGATCCTAGACTCCATCATCTTTCTATTGGAATCATCATTGTTCCAAATGATTTTTTTCATGCACAGTCTCTTTCCTAATTTCAAAGACCAAGAAAGCTCTACTTTGTTCTTTGGAGCTGATTTTCGACTCCAGTAAAATCAGCTGAGAAGATAAGAACCTGGTGAGATAAATAAAATAACCAACCTGAATGTTAACCTATTAAATCAGAGAGCGTCTCTATTTTAAACATCAGACCATCAGACTCCTAAAGTTGACCTTCTAGATTAGGGATTGTTAAATTTTGCCTGTAAAGTGCCAGTTACTTTTGGCTCTGTGTACCATATGATCTCTGTCACAACTACTCAAATTTTCCATAAATAATTCATAAACAAATGAGTTTCATTGTGTTCCAATAAAGCTTTATTTATGGGCATAAAAATTTGTATTTTGTGTAATTTTCACATGTCAAAAATATTCTCCTTTTGATTTATTGGCCATAGAGAAGCAGACGATGGACTGATTTTAGCTGACAGACTGTAGCTTGCTGACCTCTTGTTTTCCTAGTTGTTTCCTTTGAACATCCTATAGAATATGATGGAGCCATTGCTTTGTGGTTCCAACTCCTTGCCTTTTATCAAATCGGCCCCCTTCCACAGAAGTGTTGTTGGCACTTACCTGTATTTGATTGTCTTGTAAATATGAAAAATATAAATAACAGCTTGTGTATACCTTTTAAACAATGAGATGCATTCAATCCTAAAGCTAAATACTATTGATTTTACTAATAACAATAGCAATTATACATATGGAATATATAGAGAAAGTCTAATAGTTGGTAAGAATATTAAGGGATTAGAAAAGCTAAGGGAGATGGATTATTTAGTTGGCAGAAGAAAGTTTAGGGATGACTATTATATGGTTTTTATGGTTGTTGGTGGTTGATAGCCCTCTTGCACTGAAGGACTCTAAAATGAAAAGAGTGTATATGGATTTCTAGAAGTCCTATTATGAAAAAAAAAAGCAATTAACTCACTGACAAAGAAACAGTATTATCTTTCTACATAGGAACAATATTGTTACTCATGAAGAATGATTAGCTATTCAACTTCTAGCTCCATGATAGAAAGAATAGGAAGAAATTAATTGAAATTGCATCAGAACAGATGGAATTAGATATAAGGGAGATTTGTTACACTCTAGATATGTTAAAGTTCAAGGCAGAGCCCTGCATTAAGAAAAGTATAAAACTATAGTTGGCATCATGTTGGCATCAACATGATGAAGACGATGATCTCCAGAAGCCTATTTAAACTTTGTTTTCTGATAGGATATGTGATTACACTACTTAATTTTATCAGATAAAATCTTCCTATTAATTATTTTTCTCCTGTCAAGCACCAATCAATATGTTAGGTCCTTTATAAATGGAGAGAGAGCTATAATAATACCTGTTCAGTAGGTTTTTGCCAGTCAATTGTTTCAACGTCATATTAAAGGCAAATGGAAATGAATATTATAGAACACATCTAGCAATTAGACATAGTATGGGGGCATGTGCCAATTTTAGCTTGTCACTGATTGTGAAAATAGTCTTTATTTTGGAGAACGATTTTGCAGGATCCTTGTTGTTGCTGTTAAGTGCTGTAGAGTCAGTTCCGACTCACAGCGACTCTGTAAAGTTTACAAGGAGCTGTTGGTGGGTTTGAATTGTCAACCTTGTAGTTAGCAAGCCACTGCTAATTTTACAGTGCCACAGTTAGAAGAAATAAAATTTGTAAGGGTCTCAGTCTGAACCAGTGAACAAAGTTTACAAGTAAGCAGGTCAAAATGAGTATAATAAGAGATTTGAAATAAGATTGAAATGAGAAACTAAAGAAAGTGGAAAATTCAGTTAGTTGAGTGATATGTTGTTGTTGTTGTTGTTTAGTGTTACCAAGTCATTTCTGACCCATAGTGCCTCTGTATAGGGTTTCCAATGAGTGGCTGGTGAGTTTGAACTGCCAACCTTGAGGTTAAGACCAATCTGTATTCAAGCACTTATCCTACAGCACCACACCAGGAGAGCTGGTATAGTACAGACATGGTTCCAGGAGAAATAAAACACTTTGCATTTGAATTTGATAAAGAAATTAAATGATTGGTTAGAGCTGAAAATTAACCTCTCGCTCTCATTTTATCTGTTATGTTATTGTTTGTTTTTGTTTTGTTTTTTAACTAAGAAATCTTATTCAAAGGATGACTTATCAGTTAAACATATGTTTGGCAGAAAGTTGCTAAAAGCATATTCCAGTGGCTTGCTCAAATAGCCCCATTCAGTAGACTTTTGCTTACATGTTGTTGGCTGAAAATAAATTATATGGTTGACCTCAACTAATTTGGAATTTTGCTTTATACTTGGTGATTGTGGTTCTGTTAGTAAGAAAACAGTTGGGTTGGGGGAGGTAAGAAATTGGTTTTGTAACAGATAATGTCTGCAATAAATAATATATACTTTTCAAGTCAGTCTAGACTTTGTGCATTTGACTAGAGATCACCTAACAGCTCTATTCTTTCTCTACTTTTTTTTTTTTTTTAAGGATTGCATTTTCTTTCTGTCTAGGCCATCATTGTTATTGAGGTTGTGATAGATTAATTCAAATATATTTAAATAAATTGAGCATACTTCCCCAATAACTGAATAGTTGTGAGGATGTACAAAATATTGGCTTCAACATATAAATGTGAAAAGATTTTCATTGACATCGATTTTGTTGTTTGAATATAAAATAAGGCCTTATATCTCTTTAGAACTTAACCCAGGGTACTGTGCATGCTTTCATTCTTTAGTCAATTAAATATATGCCTTATATATATTAATGTCTGCTCCTGTATGCTGTGTCAGCAAGGGCAATCTAGAATTGAGGGGTTTTTTTTGCCTTCCTCGTGATTTTTTTCATATCCTTCTCATATTTCCAGAGCAACAAAACAAAAAGAAAATGTCAAGTTATAAAGATTGAATTAGATAGTATAAGAAAATAAATACCAGAGATTTCTTCAAGGATAGAAATTTGTTATGTTAATATATTAAAATATTGTTTCTAGTCTCACATAATGTATTAATGGTTATTATTAATGTAGTCTCAACGATTGCTATAAAATCACCCTGAAATTATTTCTTATACAAATAATAGATATGTTTCAGTTATTTAGATATTATTATTAATTGATATTAAAGAAAAATAGTTAATTACTAAAAATTGAGATAAAATATGTTTTGTTTTGTTTTTAATAACAGCTACAGTAGAATGCTATAATCCAAGAACAAATGAATGGACCTATGTTGCCAAAATGAGTGAGCCCCACTATGGACATGCTGGAACTGTGTATGGAGGAGTAATGTATATTTCAGGTAAACTGTTATCATGTGGATGCAATTAACATAATACAAGGGGACTTCCCAAAGTTCAAAAATTCCATCATCTTTTAATTCTGTTTTTCTACAAATTTTTGAAACCTTCTCATACATTATCTTCTAATTATATGGTCATCTTTCCATGTAGTTGTAATAGTAAAAATCCAGAAATGTAGAAAATCCAAATGTAATTTATGTTGAGTTTAGAAGGTAATTTTCTATGTATATGTGCATATGAATGCTTTGACACTATACAAATTTACAAGACTAACAGTAAGCCAATCCTACTACAAATGTATAAGCTGTTCAGATCTCCAAATTGTTTTTCCCTCTCCATATTCTGTATTAATTACCAGTTGTGTTTTATTCAAAATTTAGCTAAACTGTGAGGAGTTATACTTGTATTAGTATATAGCATATATGTTCTACTGTGCATAAAATATGCTTTTGATCTACATATAATGTTCATTCTCTCATTTTAGGTCAACACATAATATAGATGTGTTCCTTTTCCTTAGCATTTTTTTGGAGGTTCCATTATGATAGCATTGAGGAAATAATTTTATGCTAATTACCTGTATTTAGACTACATGCAGACATATACGCATATTTCCATTCTAAAAAATCTGAAATGACTACAATTTACTCACTCTGTCCCAGTAGCAGCTTTCATTTAGAAAGGAATTTAAATTGTACTTTGATAGGCACATTCTTGCCTTGGGTTCTGAAACAGTTTACTTTTTACAGTTTTCCCTGCTAGTGCCAGGCCAAATATTATATTATTAGAGAACAAAGGTGTTAAGATAATGTTTAGGGCCTAAGCACTGCCTAATGAACTCTATAATCAAGAAGGATTTAGGAAAAACATATAGCATGTGCTGACTGGGTTCTGGTATCAAATTCATGAGCAACTGCAAGACACCTTATATTAAAGAACCATTCAGGAGATCATACGCTCCACTAGTCAATGATTTACTCCACCTATTTTATGTCTGTAACTGCTAGACCATTTTAAGTATCACTCTAAATCTTCAGTGGGAAAAAAAATTAGATCTGAATTGTTTCTGTGGTGCTTTGGCATAACTAGTATATATTGCCAAAACGATGTTCCCAATCAAGAGTAGAATAGGAACCATAGCTAATTTTCAAACACTAAAACACTGTTTGGTGCCTACTATGAGCAATGGGCTGTGAACCACAAGTTCTGTTCGAGCCCTCTCCTCCTTCAGCCACTCCATGGGAGAAAGGAAGAAAAATGAGGCTTTCTGCTTCCTCGAAGATTATAAAAAGAACCTATACAACAGGGGTGGGAAAGTCTGGTCCATGGGCCATATAAGGCATGTGAAATCATTTAGTTTAGCCCTGCCAAGGCAACTGCATTTCCAGCCATCATATTTGCTGATGTTGTTAAGTGCCATCGAGTTGGTACTGACTCATAGCGACCCTGTATAGGGTTTCTGATTAGCTGCTGGTGGGTTTGAACTGCCAGCCTTGTGATTCACAGTCCAGTGCTGATCTTAAAGTACCATCATATTAGGGGCAAGTTACTTAAATGTTTGACCAAATATAGCAGGCAAATTTTTAAGTTGATAATTTTGTATGGCCCACGAATGATGTTATAAATTTTGGCACGGAAAAGGTTCCCCACATCTGCTATACAGGGTCGCTATGAGTTGGAACTGACTTGATGGCACTAAGGAACAACAACAAAGAGCACTGTTTAAGGAGTCCTGTAGGCACAGTGGGTGAAGCATTGGGCTGCTAACCAAAAGGTCAGCAGCTAGCGCTCCTCAAGAGAAGGATATAGACATTCTGTTTCCATAAACATTTATATGGAAACCCTAGGGAGTTCTATTCTGTCCTCTAAGGTTGCCTTGAGTCAGAATAGACTTGATGACAGTGAGTTGAGTTAGAACACTGTTTTGCTTTGCGATAATTTTGTGAAGTGGTGGTGGTGGTTATGTGCCGTGGAGTTGGTTCCTACTCATAGTGACCCTGTATAGGGTTTCCAAGGCTGTAAAATCTTTACGGGAGCAGAAAGCCTCATCTTTCTACCACAGAACAGCTGGTAGTTTTGAACTGCTGACCTTGCGGTTCATAGCCAGATTCGTAACCACTACGCTACCAGTAGAGTGGTGATATTAAGAAAAAAAAACATGGTGATGGCCATCTGACCACAGAATAGAACTTTGAATTTTACTACTGAAGATTACTGCTGCACACATAAAATTCAAAATTTCATTTGAAAAACTAAGGAAGGAGAATGCTAAGTCTTTGTGGAATTTTATGTGGAAGTAGAATGCCAAAAATTCCACAAAAACAAACATTTTTTATTGATAAATTTTATAAGCTTGTCCATTTGTACAGCTTTGTCAACTTTGTCAAAGTATTTCTCCTTTCTCTCATTTCATAGTCATAATCCTAATGAAATTCGTATTTGTAAGGTAAGGAAATGGGCACCTAGTAGTGCTCTACCCAGGGTGCAGCATCCACAGGCTGCCCACTCAAAAGCTAGGAGTAAGTGGTTCATTTTAGTTGCAGTTTCCTGCAGACCTAACTCTAAAAGTGACCAAAATGTATGTTCCTTTAGAAAATCCAACAGACCTCCATTTAAGAAAGTGGAAGTACCACTATAAGTGAATTTTCTGTTCTTTAAGAAGAAATCATTAATTCATTTCTTTTTAATCCAGAGAGAGTATTGATAGAGGGCAAGAAGCGACTGAAAGAGGATATACTGCCACGCTCACTCATGGTTTTGTTGGTCGAATTCAGTTTCTCATGGGTGTTCAACTGAGGACTGTCTGTTGCCTCATGACCACCGTCAGTTCCTTAACATATGGACTACTCCATAGGGTAGCTTACAGCATGGAACCTGATTCCCCTCACAGTGTACAACTGAGAAAACAAGAAAGGATGCCCCAGATTTTGTAACCTAACTGCTCAAGGGATAACCCATCCCTTTTGCCATACTTGCCTTATCTATTGATAAGCTATAATACGTGCTGAAAGGTTAATTCAGGGCAGCGCAGTGGCTCACTATGATAAGGTCCATGGTTCCAGCTTGCCAGTCACTCAGGCAGTAAGATGAGGCTTTCTGCTCCTTTAAAGATTTCAAAAACCCTGGAAACCCGATACAGGGGCACTATGAGTTGGGATTGACTTGAAGGCACTTAACAGCAAAAGGTTAATTTTCTATGACAGTGTCCCCCCTCCTTGGATTTTTTTTTTTTTTAATTTATCTATTCATGCCTATTCATTTCATTCCTTAGGAGGAATTACTCACGACACTTTCCAGAAGGAGCTCATGTGCTTTGACCCTGACACTGACAAATGGATCCAAAAGGCACCAATGACCACTGTCCGCGGTCTGCACTGCATGTGCACAGTGGGAGAAAGGCTCTATGTCATCGGTGGCAATCACTTCCGAGGAACAAGTGATTATGATGATGTCTTAAGCTGTGAATACTATTCACCTATCCTTGACCAGTGGACCCCAATTGCTGCCATGCTAAGAGGGCAGAGTGATGTTGGGGTCGCTGTCTTTGAAAATAAAATCTATGTGGTTGGTGGGTATTCCTGGAATAATCGGTGTATGGTAGAGATTGTGCAAAAATACGACCCAGATAAGGATGAATGGCATAAGGTGTTTGATCTCCCAGAGTCCCTTGGTGGCATCCGAGCTTGCACACTCACAGTTTTCCCACCTGAAGAAACTACACCATCACCTTCTAGAGAGTCCCCTCTTTCTGCACCTTAAGTTCCTCACTGAAACTACAATGCTGTAGTCCTATCTTTGCAATGTGTCATGGAGTCTCTTCTTTTTTTCCCCTTTAGTAGTATATGTTAGAATTAGCCTCCAGTAATTGATGCAGATATTGGGAAAAAAGATAATGTTGGTGTTTTTTGTGCTGTTTGTTTGGCTTAGAATGTTTCTCAAGTGGCAACACAAACATTCTGGACTGTATCCCATAGAAGCTAATGTTTAACATATGAAAAAAAATATCAAGGTATTGTCTATAAAATGTTCATTCAGTACTTTTTTTGATGCTGTGTACTGAGTGTAAGATACTTGTCATCTTACATTAGAAAGCCCAATAAGTCAAGTTGGAGGTGAATTATAGTTAATGTACAACTGTGCTCACTAGGCTTCAAAGTAAAAGTTTTCCTTTCATCTTTGACTGTAAGATGTCAAAGGGAGGCAGCCTCCAACAGGAAACAATACACAAAAGGTTGCCAACTCGCATGAGCTACCTCCCTTTTTCATAAAGTATTTTTGACATATCTGTCAACCCATCTGACTGGGTGGGTGCATTGAGAACATATAAAGTTTCTTAGACACACAGGAGAAATAATCAATATAATTCACCTATATTCGTAAGAATAATAATTTTAAAAAGAAGAAGAAGAAAAAAAAAAAAAAAAAAAGCAACAGCAAAACTCCTCAACCTATAAGCAAGGGTTTGGGGTTTTGGAAGTGTGTATCGATTCAACACACACATACAGAATATGAAATAATGAAATATACAATTTTTAATTGAATGATATATCAAATAAATGTGCATTTTTCTTAGAAAAAACAAACAACAAAACCAGGATATGCTTCCAAAAAGCAGCTTCCATTACAGTGGGAATTCAGTATGTACATATAATGGTACAACCTTACTGAATTTAGGTGGATAAGGGCTAGAAATTTTGAGCAACTCAATTTGTCACTTGACCAAATTTTACCTTCAAAAACTATATTCGACTCCTTCTCCTTTGCTGTTGAGGTGACTTGCATATTATATGTATTCTGTATACTCTCAGTTCATAAGGTTATTTAGCACAAAGGGCAGCAGCTTCATCTGGAGAGCTGGTTTTGCTCAGTGAATTCAACTTCATGTTTTATCTTTTTATTTGGTAAATAAAAATCATTTAATGTCATTCTGGTCTAAAGCATTGCATTATTGTCTGATTCAATTTCCTTTAATTAAATCTTTTTGTTGATATGACAGGATTCAGGTGATCAGAACTTAGATCATTGGGCAGCTTAGATGAGTGGATGTTTCTGTCTTTCATTCAAGGAACAAAAAAAGTGTGACAAGTGCTAACCTCATTGATCAGACCTCATTGCTATTTGTGTATGAGGGGCTAGAGTGTGGAAAATGCTATTTGGCTCTTCTTCATACCCATCAAAGAATTGCCAGACATGTCTAAACCATAAGAACAGTTCAGCTGCAGAGGTCAATTTCTCTGATCTTCCAGAAGATCCATTTTGCCTCATGAGAAGGGATTGAGATAAACAACCTTAGATATGTTCCTGAGGATATCTAGTATCCTAAAGGAAAAATGCTTTTGAAAACTATTATCTAAGAATTAGTTTAGGGCCATATACCACTACCTCTGTCGTGAGTTAAATATAATAAAGAATATAATGATTTCATCAGTGATACTTTTGAGTGTGGGGAGGAATCTGGTATGAATCTGAAAGACCACTTTAGACGTGAAAGTCTTTGTTTTTATGGCAGAGCGTTTGACCCAGCAATTTCCGTTCTTTGCTATATGCAGAGCAGAGTTAGCCGTTTGTGCGTAATTGACATCTGCCTAAAAATGGGGAAGTGTGCAGGATAGACTAATGATTGTACAACTGTCCAAAGTGACTGAATGTTCTTCACAGGGCAGTTCTTCTCCTGGTAGTAAACATACTTTTCATCTTTTGGCTTCTCCCTCCTGTTGGCCCTTGGAATTCTCTCCTTTCCAACAGCAGGAAAAAAAAAAGGAGGATTGCAACTTGAGGGCTGCAGATTTGAAGCCATCACTTTTACCCACATTCTATTATCCAGAAGTCAGTCCTACAGCAACAAAAAATGCAAAGGCAACTAAAAATACATAGCTGTGTTTCCAGAAACTAGAGGCAACAGAGTTGGTGATAAACTAGCAACTTGCCATGGGGAATACCACAAAACATATACAGTTCTATTTGACAACTTACCTTTTCTGGATCCATGCCAGATGCTATTTAAAATAGTAATTAATGCCACATATTACTATAGGTGGTATTATTAAACAAATCTAACAGCTGGGAAATTATACATTTTCTGTCACAGTGAATTAGCTTTTTTTGTTTGTTTTTTTTTAAACATCTGCCAATCATTCGTTGGCTTTGCAAACATTTCTCACATTTGCCCTTCTTGAGTTCTTGATTTACTTTTAAAAAGAATTTAAAAATGCCCTTTGCTTTTGCTACCACTCAGTAGACTCTCAAAGGCTCCTGATTTTCCTTCACAGTCAAGGTTACTAGGGTGGGAAGAATGGGGAAAAAAAACCCGACAAAGTTCTTTGCAAATGTCTGTGTTTTTTTTTTTTTTTTAAATCTCATTTTCACAACCATTCTTTGTACTGAAATGTGAAATTATGACCTGAAAGTATTTTCTCTCTAAATTACAC